TCACTGGTTCGTTGCATCATGTTGATAAGGATCTTCTCGGGTGGTGGTTATGTGAACGACAAGTGAAATCGGGAGGTCTAAATGGGCAGCCCGAAAAGCTTCCTGATGTAGGTCACAGTTTATAGTTTATGTATACAGTGGCTTAAGAAAGGCAAATAATTTTTTTTTAAAAAAAAAAAAAGTCTTCAAGAGCACGCTTATGATTTACTACCCTTTACCAACTCCAGGTCTGCTATTCATGGTGGGTTCTTTCCATTTTGATCATAATCGATAGAGTTCACTGGATTGACAAGAAAAAACTCGTTACGTTCATATTGGATTGTCAGGTTATTGAGCTTTTCAGATTAAACATTTTATTTTATATTTGGAGGCACAGTTTCCAAAATTTCGGTTATCATCAAAGTTAAGAAATTTTGGGCCAATGTGTGGTTTAACGGTGCAGGATAAGGAGAACGGTGGAATTTCTGATAGGCCAGATGATGCAGTTGATGTTTTTCACACCTATTTTAGTGTAGCTGGTAAGATTGGAGCCTTTTAATCCCACTTAACATGTGGATTAGTTATCAAACTTAGTTACGCATCTCAAGAATTAAGAGACTGTGTTAATCTGTTTCTAGTGTGTTGTTCGTGTCTTCAAAATTGTGACTTTCTTTGATTTGCAGGCCTATCACTTCTCGAATATCCTGATGTGAAAGCTATAGATCCAGCATACGCATTGCCAGTTGACGTTATAAATAGAATCTTCATAGGCAAATAAATGTAGCAGCTCGAATGGATTGTATCATTGTTTTACCGGTAAGCGATGAAATGGCTAATAATGATGCAAGTATCGTCTGTGTACTCATTGTGATTTTGTATAATTATCAATATTTTTTTTTTTCGTTTCTTCATTAGTTTCACACATGCAGTTGAACTTTGATGATAAGTTTTTGTTGCAATATGGAGATTGTTTTATTTGAGTTATGTTCAGTATTAGTTGCAACTTCGAGATTGTTTAATTTTAGTTGTCGGAGCTCGAGTTCCATCTTTCATGTGTCAGTTCCCAATACTGGTGGGTTATTTTGAAAAGAATATAATGTTTCATTGGATAAAGTGAGTGGAGAATGTGTCAATGGGCTGCTTGTATACAAATATATCTGCTCAAAATGAGTTTTTTGGTTAATCAGAATTAATTTTAACAAAGTGTATAGTTAGTTGATAGTGAGATTGTAATTTTATATTGAAATAATTTTTCAAATAAAATAATTAAAGTTGATTTGATGTAAAAGTAGAAGATAAATGATATGAAGTGATAGTTAGTTGAAATTATATGAGTAGATTAAAGTTGATGTGATCTGTTAGAATGGTTGGTTGATTTTATTTAATTATATCGATAATATTGAAAATAGTGGAGTTGAGTTAAAGTTGAATTAGATTTTAAGTATGAATTGTGTAGGAATTGAGATCTTTCATATACGCATCATGTACAGTTCTCAATACTCTAGATTATTTTGGAAAAAAAAAATGTTTCGGTGAATAAAGTGAGTGGGAGAGTGGAAAAATATTGTGTGTAAGATTGAATTAATTTTGAATTTGTAAATTTATATGAGATTTAAAGTTGATGTAATATATTTTATTAAAATTATTATTATAAATGATTAGTAGTTAAAAATATATTAGAAGATAAATAGTGAATTTTATAAAAAAAAATTGTGTAGTAATGACTGTTTATATTTTTTAATTGTGATGACAAGATTGATAAAAGAAAAAAATGTATCTAATCAACAAACAATTATATTTGGAGTACTAAATTTTTCTCATAAAAAATAATGGTATATGTTTACAATTCAAGTTCATTTCTTTTTGAAAAGAGTAATGCTACATAACTTGAGTGACAACTCGGGTTACAACCCAAGTGTAAATGCATTATCAAGAAATTTAAAAATAATGCATTATGTTGGTATGGCTCATATATTGACAAAGGAAGAGGGCAGGCTGATGCCTGCTAGCGTAACGGAGCGAACGTAGCAAGGGAAGCGGAGCGACCGAGCGAAGAGAGCGGAGTGGAGCATAGATAAGTGTGTAAATGGGGCCCAATCAGCTTTTTTGCTAGGCAAAAGTTTAACTGACAACGTGGTTATTGCAAATAAGGGTCTTCATTTTTTAAACAGTCACAGAACATGGAAGCATAAGTATATGGCAGTTAAACTTGACATGATGAAGGCTTATGATAGAATTGAGTGGGCCAGTATTAGTCTTACTATGCTCAGGATGGGTTTTGGTCATAAATTTGTGAGATGAATCATGGAATGTGTGTCTACTGTGTCTTTCTCTTTTATCATTAATGGCTGCACCACTGGATATGTATCTGCTCAAAGAGGAGTTAGACAGGGAGACCAATTGTCTCCCTATCTATTTATTATTGTTTCTGAAGTGCTTTCTGCTTTGATTAACTTTGAAATGGAAAGAGGGGCGTTTCGAGGGGTATTTGTGGCTAGAGGTGCTCCTATTATTACTCATTTATTATTTGCGGACAACTCTCTGGTTTTTTGTAAGGCAGACAAGTACCAAGTTCAGGCCCTATTATCTGTCATCTCTCTATATCAAAGATTTACAGGGCAGAAAGTCAATACAGCTAAGTCCTTGATATTCTTCAACAAGAACACTGAGATTGCAGTACAGAATGAAGTGTGCCATTTTTTCCCAGGAATAAATTTTTGGAGGTCCATCAGATACATGGGAATGCCTCTTGGCATAGACAGGTCTAAGAAGGAGGTTTTCAGTTTTGTGACAGAGGCTGTGAGGAAAAGGTTAATCAGCTGGAAGAACAAATACCTCTCCTCAACAGGGAGAGAGGTTCTCATCAAATCTGTACTTAATGCTCTTTCATTGTTTGTTATGTCCTGCTACAGGCTACCAGCTAGCATATGTAAGGAGGTGGCTAGAATGATCTCTCATTTTTAGTGGAGTGGAGGAGATTAACAGAACAAAGGGGTACATTGGAGAAGATGGGAGTTGCTTACTTTAACCAAAGATTAGGGACGACTGGGTTTTAAAGTTAACCTTTTCAATGATGCAATGTTAGTCAAGCAACTTTGGAGAGTAATCACTCACCCTCAACTTCTCATGAGCAAGATTTTGAAGTGCATTTATTTTCCTAAAACCTCTATATTTGATGCTCAGTTGAATCAAAACTCTTTTTGGTAATGAAGGTCCTGGTGGAAAGTAAGGAGTTTGCTGAGAGAAGGACTGCATGTGAAGATTAAAAATGGAGCATCTGTGAGACTGAAGGATCATAACTGAGTGCCAGGTATTAGAAGAAGAAGTCTATATCTCAAGCAGGACACTAATGGAAAAAATATCAAAGTGCAGGAACTGATTGATGGTGCAAGGAATAGATGGAATGAGCAGAAGGTTAGGGAACTGATTGAAGAGGAAGACTGTAATGCTTTGTTGCAAATTAA